GAGTCAATATGTCTCAGCCCTGCACTAGAGAGATCCTGGATAATGGGGTACTTGCTGAGAGCACTCAAGTGCTGGGGCAAGTGTATGCTTTGCATGACTGAGCACTTACCCAAGTGGGAACTGGACCATATAATTTAAAGGGACCACCGAATGGCCATGAGATGGGAAAAACTTTCCATCACAACTGCTCTGGGGGCATGACAGAACCAGTGCGCTAGAGACAAAAGGCTTCATGCTCCATTCTCAACATCCCTACCCCAGCAAGCCCCCCTACTTCTGGCCTGGGCCTAAACTGAGACTGGTGTTCTGACCGTGAAAGGAACCCCTGCTCACCGCGCCATCCAGGCGTTGGTGTTGATGTTGAAGGAAGCAATGGTCCCTGTGAAGAAGGGTGTTGTCTCGAATAACCAAATCTTCATGTTGGCACAAGCATCCCACTTTGGTTTGCCACTCATATCCTGGCCATTGTACCCAAGGCCAACAAGGATGCAGACGCCTTCCTGTGAGAAACTACACAAATCAGGGAAAAGCAGCATCTACTGGGCAGTTATAGAACTCCCCCGCCCCTGCAATGGCACAGTGCCTACTGTTGGGAATGGCAAAAGTAAGCAGCTACAAGTTGTCTCTCTGCTAGCTAGGAAGGGAGGACTGGGTAGCAGCAGGATACTTTCACCTTCCTTGTCTGGCTATTACGTCTCCCTCCCCATAATGTCACAACTCAAGTGGATGGTAAAATATGAAATTTCAAGAGTTTTCCCTTATTCCACAAAGAGTTTGGTGTTCACTGAATCACCATTTTCTGATTAACCTCTTCTGTCAAAACATTTCCAATCAGCTCTTTGCCACAGCAGCCCTTCTGAAGGAGGGCTGATCAGAGGAGCTATACGGTTCCTTGTTTGTATGCATTTGTCCTACTCAAGTTAAAGGTGGAGGTTTTTACAGGGCACATCCCCCTTCTGGACTCACCGTGACAAGCCAGCAGGTGACATATTTGTAGAGTATCACTTTGCCCCAAATCAATATGTAGAAGCAGCGGAACCAAAAAGGCTGTTCCTACAGAGATACAAAGGGAATTCAGAAGGAAAAAAATAGTGGTCAATAACTGTCAAAGGGTTATATTTGCGCTTTTGCAGAACATCTACTGCAATCCTAGGGCAGCAATCCAGTAGAAGGATTCACATTCACGATTTTGGAATACCCAAGAGCCTGGGTACCCTAAACATCAAGCAAGTCAGCAGTACTGAGACACAGACAGCATTATTAAGTCTGAGCACGTGAAATCTCACTTCTCTAATCTGATCTAGTGTTTAGAGGAGAGAGACTCAATTTTATATGGCTAATAATAGGTAAACTCCTGTAATCCAACTATTTTATAGCCAAATGCCACCTGGGGCAGTAACATCATAACCATTTCAGAAGCATTTTAGAGTTAATATTTTTATTTAAAAAATGAAAGTCATTATTTGTTCATAGTTATGTAGCAAAACTGATGAATGTTAGGGAGAAATCAGCCACACCTCCAAGGATCTCAAAAAACTAGATCAGTTTCAAACTCAAGTGAGTTAACCTGAAGAGTGAGCTGGACCTACTGAGTAAAGTCACTACTAAGGATGTAAAATCCCATTTAATCAGTTAACCAACTAAACATGTTTAACCAGTTAACCAGTTAAATGGGGATGGGCATGGGGCCACTCCAGCCCAGCTAGACTGGAGTCTCCTGCCACAGACGGAGACTGCTCTGGCCAGGCTGGAAAGCCACTTGTGGCGCAGTGGGCTGCTTAGTCTGGGTTAGGGGCTCAGTATGGGCTGTTCTGGCTGGGCTTGGGTGCCCTCTCATCCTCCACAGCGCAACGGGCCTGGTTGGGCTGGAGCAGCACCCTGTCTGTGTCGGGCATGGGGCTTCTCCAGCCAAGCTGGGTCACCGGATAACCACTGACATCCCGAGTCACTTTTATTTTGTTTTTAAAGCAACAACATTGACAAACAAGCAGGAGCTAGAGTGGAGCCTTCATTGTTGCGTTGGCATTCAGGAATGCTTACTTTGTGAAGTCTTGAAAATAAATGGTTCATGATTTCTTCTTTACCTTTTTTAAATATAAAAAATCCTTGGATACTATATGCAAATAACTTTGTTATGTAATTATTAAAGGCTAATCGTTAAAAGATCAGGAAATATAGTTAACAGAAACAGGACTGCACTAAGTTTCTTGTTCAATTTATAACTAAATATTCATGTTCATCATTAAATGCAAGCCCACAGGCATGCAGTGCTGCTGAATTACTGAGGGGGAGGGAGAGGATTGCTTAACATTTGCAGTTACTGACTTTTTATTGATATTTAACTAGACAATCCTTAAAAGTCCTTCCATTTAGTTTTCTAGTTTTACAATTCCTGACTTGAGTAGCTACCTCCATGAATAGATTAGTTCCTACAAATTTAACTGCTAAGACTAGTACTTACCAGGTATGCATCAGAGATGAGGTATTCATCAGAGACATATGGGCTCAACAGGGCATAAGTTACCAGAAAGAAGAGGCCTAGGATAAGGCGCTTGACAGCAGGCACAAGGCTGAGAGAGGGAAAAGAAAGGAGATCAAATGTTGGAAAGAAATTCAAGACTTCCAAATTGAACAACATCTAAAAACCGAAGTGGAGATGAGGGCTCAGACAGAGCTGAAGGAGGATCTACTTCAGTAACAATCCCCACCAGAAACTGGAATCAAGACCTCACCAGAGTTCTTGGGCTGGGTCGCACTGGGTTTTGCAGAGTCAAAACAAAACAACAGACAAGAACAGTGCTAAGGAGGGCATTGTCTTGTGGCAAGTTTGCAGGGAGTCTTCGAAGCTGCATCCCCCTGAGAGTCAGTATTGACCGCAGAGCTTCAATGTGGTGCTAGATACAGCAGGGACTGATGTGAATATCTTGATAAAGGGTTCTGGAGCTCTCATGAGGAAGGGAGCCAGAGTGGTTCTGGTTACCTGTTGGGTCTCTGGCCTGGAACATCAGTCTTCTCACCCCTTGCCAGTTTCTGATAGTCTGTCATGGAGAACTGGGGCCCCACCATGAAGGCACCATAAAAATAGGAGAAACCTGAGACCTCCAGTAAGGTAGGAACTCCACGGACTGCAAACTGCTTCTGCTCATCGGTCAGGACTTCCTACATCAAAGGGAGCAATGTTAACATTGCTCTAGACCAGGCTTTCCCAAACGTTTTCAGTCACGGAGCCCCTACAAGGTCTTCAAAATTTGGCAGAGCCCTTAAAATATTGTGATTTTTAATTCAATAGATACCCAAATAATAAGACAAAGTTTTGGAATTCTATTTTTATTTTTTACAATTTCTTAC